GAACAAATACCAACGAACTTGCCACTTAAAACAGAATTACAAATTGAAAAATGCGGTACAACAACTTACTACCTCCATACAAAAGGCAGGTTGGATTTCTACTCCTGAACAAACAACATGGAAGGAAAGCATAAACTGTTCGCAAAGTGCAAAAAAACCTGATCGATGAGAAAAGAAAACTTAGGAAAAAGTGGCAAAACACACACGCTCCTATTGACAAACAAATTTAAACAGAATTACCAGAAGACTTAAAAATCTATTAAAAGAAGAGAAAAACAGGGGGATCCAAACTTACTTAGAAAATTTGACTCCGTCCAAAGACACCAATTATTCTCTATGGAAGGCGACGAGAAAGGTAAAAGGTCCACAAGACGCCATACCTCCTCTAAAAAATGTCAAAGGTAAATGGGCAAGAACAGACACAGAAAAATCTGAGACATTCGCAGAACATCTTTCTACAGTATTTAGTCCATTTAACAGAGTAGTGCCATTAGAACAAGAAGAACCATTTAATTCTTTTCTTGAGGCTCCATATCAAATGGAACTACCAATCACCAAGTTTAATATTAAAGAAGTAAAACACATAATAAAGAATGAGATACAACCCAATAAGGCTCCGGGATTCGACCTCATAACGGGTAAGATCCTTCAGGAACTAACCAATGACTGCTACAGAACAATCACTATGATCTTCAATGCTATGCTTAGTCTGCATTACTTTCCTCTGCAATGGAAAGTGGCACAGATTATACTCATTCAAAAACCTGGTAAGATCCAAAAGATGGTCAACTCATACCGACCGATTAGTCTACTCCCAGTCATCTCTAAGGTCTTTGAAAAACTTCTGCTACGAAAAATCAAACCAATATTGGACGAAAAGTGTCTCATACCTGACCATCAATTTGGTTTTCGTAACCAACATGGTACAATCGAACAAGTTTCACAGACTATACACAACAATAAGAAGTAGTCTCGAGAACAAGCAATACTGTACTGCAGCCTTTTTAGACGCCTCTCAAGCTTTTGACAAGGTGTGGCATACAGGACTTCTGTACAAATTAAGAAAATTTACCTTACCCTTACTTTAAACTGCTTCAATCATACCTTACAGAAAGGAGATACCTGGTAAAATATAATGAAGCCCATACAAAACTCTACCCCATCCTATCTGGTGTACCTCAGGGTAGTGTGCTCGGACCGATTCTGTACCTGATATATACAGCTGACTTGCCAATAAGCAATAACCTAACGCTTGCAACATTCGCAGATGATACTGCTTTCTTGGCCTCTCATAGCAACCCAATAATAGCATCAGAGAGACTGCAACTACATCTGAACAAAACAAATGAATGGCTTAAACTCTGGAGAATTAGAGTAAACCCCTCAAAATCCACACAAATTACATTTACTCTAAGAAGAGGTACATGTCCACAAGTTAACCTCAATGGACATCCTTTGCCCCAAAAGCATGACGTAAAATACTTAGGTATTCACCTTGACAAACGTCTAACTTGGACCAAACATATATGGACGAAAAGGCTTCAATTGGGAATTTTATACAGAAAACTTTACTGGATGTTGGGAAAAAACTCTCACCTATCGATCGACAACAAGCTGCTGATATACAATACAATAATAAAACCCACTTGGACATATGGCTCGCAGCTCTGGGGTTCAGCTAGCAAATCTAATATTATGATAATACAAAGATTTCAATCCAAAACTCTGAGAACAATCGCTAATGCACCTTGGTATATCCAGAATGATGCAATACATAGAGATCTTCAGGTACTAACAGTCTCTGAAGAGTGCAAAAAATCTTCTGAACAATATCAAAACAGGTTGCGGGTGCATCCTAATACCTGGCACACAACCTTCTCAACAACCAACAAGCGAAGAGATTGAAGCGACATGACCCCTTGGACATACCTCACCGATCCTGACAGAGCCTACAGTAGTGGGAGTTAGGCCTCAACAGCACCCAGACATTGTGATCAGTGCCGCTTTTAGTGCTCGCGTACCAGTGTATGTGCGCATCCTACCGGCAAAAAAGCCAACTTGTGTCGTGATGATTTGGTCACTGGACCTTACATCTCTCTGTCATGTAAAGACAAAAAGTTTTACTTATTGTTTTCACTGCAAAACAGATTGTAAAAAATCTAAATGTTAATAAAAAAAAAAAAAAAAAAAAAAACTAAATTCTGTTTATGTGATTTCCCGTCGGAAACTAGAGTGGTGAAATTTCACGAACTGCGAATTACGTCGGGGATCTACCTGGGCTAAAGTATGTATTGGCGTCGCCCCATCGGGTGATTTTTGGTTTCTAGTTTGTCTTTCTCTAACTGTTTATGTCATTCTCCGTCGATGACTAGAGTGGTGGTATTTCACAAAGGGCGAATTACGTCAGGGATCCACCTGGACTAAAATATCTTAATACTTTGATATTCTTACAATTCTTACCATAAATACAACTATAAAAACACTTGTGCAGAAGGGACAAAAATAATTAAATTAAAAACATATGTGTACAACTAGAGGAACATGCTGACCGCCAGAACCTAGAGAACTTTTCTCAAAAGTCCAAGTATCTAGCGAGAGAATTCAAGCCGCAAGATCATCAAAGATAATAGAGGAAATATCATAAAAAAACCCAGACGGCCTCGCAGAGGTGTGGAAACAATATTGCGAGATACTATTTTCTAATAACGACCGAGACAATAATACAGAGAAAATAAGTTATGAAAAAGAACCTCAAATACTGAAATCAGAAATTGAGGTGGCAGTTAAAAAGCTAAAATCCAGAAAAGCAGAAGGAGAAGAGGGAATAACAGCTGAAACACTAAAAGAAATGGAAGAATTAGGGACGGAAGTAATGCTTAGAATTTTGCAATGAGATTTGGAATACCGAAAAGTATATAAAAAGTATATAAATATATAAAAAGGTTTACCGACAGCTGATTGCAGTAATTATCGCACAGTAGCATTGATATCACACGCGAGCAAAGAACTTCTAACCATCATTAATGAAAGACTGAAATTAATTCCCTTACCACAAATTCCCCAAGAACAATGCGGATTCGTCCCAGGTAGAGAAACAAGAGAACATATTCTTAATATTCGTCAAATTATCGAAAAATCTCGAGATTGCTTTGTTGACTATTCAAAGCCTTCGATACCATACAATGTAATAAAATGTGGCATACACTTAGTGAAATAAGTACTGCAGAACATCTTATCTATTTATTACAAAAACTATAGGTAAATAATACCTGCTAATGTAATATGATTTCGAAAAACTTCAAATTAAAATTTGGAGTTCGACAGGGATGCATAATATGCTCTATTCTATTCAATGTGTATAGTGAACATATGCGTCAAGTTGTTGAGGAAAGTGGCAAGGTAAGGTGAAGCAACGATAGGATGAAGAAAAATTAAAAACCTGCGTTATGCTGATGACCCTGTTATCGTCATCACCGGAAGAACTGGAACAAATTATGAATAGGCTAGGCACGGTGAGTACGGAATATAGTTTGAAAATAAATATGCAGAAAAGCAAAGTGATGATCATCGATAGAATCAGAAACAACCAAGCAGAGATAAAAAACATGGCAGGTTACGAAGTAGTCAGGCAATTTAATTACTTAGGCTTGTTTATTACTAATAGTGGAGGATGCGAAGACGAGATCCGTCGACGCATCACAATGGCCAGATCGGCAACAGCTAAACTCACAAAAATTTGGAAGAACACTGGCATCCACAAAAAATACAAAATTACGCCTTGTTCGATCATTGATATTTCCTATCGCCACCTATGCTTTAGAAACTTATTACAACAATAACAAAATAACGACATAATATTACGACAATAACAAAAGCCGATTCAAAAGCGTCTAATGGCCTTTGAAATGTGGGTTCTACCGTAGAATGTTGCGCATACCATGGACCGCTTATCGCATAAATAACTCAATTCTAGCAGAACTTAACATAAAATTAGACTCATCACAACTATCAACCCAAATTATACTGAGATATTTTGGACATATAACTAAAAGAAGAGAAGGCGTAGAGCAAATGATAGTTAAAGGAAACGTAGGGGGTAAAAGATCCAGAGGAAGATCTCCATTACGATAGTCGGACAAATAAAAGAGATGACTGGTTATTCATTCTCCGAAGCTAAACAACACGCACAGAAAAGAGATAATTGGACAAAAACATTTAATAAAATTACATGGCGCTACTATATCCTTACGAAGGAGAAAATATTGAGGAGGATTCTTACCTCACAAATTCACGAACAACAAATAATACCAATCGCACAGAATGAATGTTCATAACCAAAAGTTGTTATTTATTCTACAAACAATTAAATACCAATATTTCCAACTTCTTATGTGACCAATTAACTCAAATTAGATATGTTTGGAGAGGTTTTTAAAAATCCCGCTCATTCTGACGTCAGACTTAGGTGGTCAATTCTAGGCTAAATATGGTTGTCAAGTTGTTAGGGAAATCTAGGGAAATTTTGGCAAAAATTCTAGGGAATTAAAAAAAATCATCTAGCAACCCTGAGTACATGTAACAGATGACCGTAACCAGTGGAGAAATATCATTGATCAGACTATCCGAGCTACTAAAGCTCAACAATGAAACAAAACACATCTGCCAAGATGATAATGACTATGGTGATAAATACAATATGTTGAGGTAATGTTTTCCTTTTTCATTTTAATAATTTCTTAATTATAAGAATTTTTTAAGGTCACAGCCACTAGAAAATTCATAAGCTCTACTAAATTTCCTAGCAGAACTTTTTTTAATATACCTCTATAACAACTACAACTACTAAGACGATTGCGATATAATCGATGCCTATATATTTTATAATAGGTTTTATTTAGTTTATATAAATATTTGTATAACATTAATTCAATTTTGTACAAAATATCTACCCCAAAAGGACCCTAAACCCTAACCGTTGTTGTTAGGTAATAATCACTGACCTGTCTAATTGTGGATGACTACACTCATAAAGATCCCTTAGGCTTTCGTGACTCTCTGACATAAGACGACCTAATACTGGCAAAACTTCGTCTCCGCCGGACTGCATGCACGTCTCGATGAACGTTTTCACCCTGAGCGCTTCTGTAAATAAAAAACAAAACAACTTCAAATGGGGATATTAATTATTACAGAGGGTATAAATAGCAGGACTAATTATTTCTCGGACAGCTAAACAGGACTGACGTGATGGATGTTCCAAAGTTTTAGGTTTGATTTATATGTGCACGTGTTTAAGTGAGTCATTTGTTACGACCACAAGCAGTTACGGGGAATAATATTTCATCGAAAAAATGTTCATGTACGGAAAGGACAATAATTTATCAAATTTAGAGATGAGCTTATGTTTGTCGGATACTTTGGAGAAACAAAATATAAAGTTAACCCTTATCCAAGCAACGTGGGTCCAACGGGCCCAAGACGCCAAATCTTTTATCATAAACTGATAAAAAGAGTGTTATTGAGTTTTATGCATTAATAAATTTATTTAGAAGTATGTTTTCTTCAACATGGTCATGAGCTATTCAAAATAATCATTCTCGTTTTTGAAATTATTGCGGCGAAAAAATTTTGTTCGTAAAGGGGCAACACGGGACCTTGGGACAATATTTGTATTTATACCAAGTCTAAATCTTTGTTAAAGAAGTTAATCTGGCAGTCCAGGTAATGATTTTATGGATTACCTAAACGAGTTTTATGATTCCAGAAATCCAGTAAAAAAGTCTTAACGTGTAACAAACAATATAAACATCTCTTTGATGTGAACATTAAAGAGATGCTTACAATAGGTGTTATATCTAATCTAAATAAATTTTAACAACTGATAATGATTATTGGAATATAATATATTGTAGGTAGGTCATCATCATCACACAGCCAAATTTGTCCACTGTCGAACATAGGCCTCCTCAAGATGTCTCCACTCTTCTCTGTCCTGTGCAGCTGCGATCCAGTTTGTCACTATTCTTTTAACGTCGTCCGTCCATCTGGTAGGTGGTCTTCCACGATTTCGCTTGTCTGCCCTTGGCCGCCATTCTAAAATCTTCTTTGTCCATCTGTTGTCTCTCTGTCTTGCGACGTGTCCTGACCATTTCCACTTTAACTTCGTAATCCGTTTTATGACGTCTTCCACTCCAGTTCTTCGCCGTATCTCATCATTTCGTATTCGGTCTCTCAAAGTTACGCCAAGCATAGATCTTTCCATTTTTCGTTGTGCTACTTGTAACTTTTTTATTGATGCTTTAGTCAATGTCAGTGTTTCAGCTCCATAAGTGAGCACCGGAAGTACGCACTGGTTAAATGCTTTTCTCTTTAGCTTTATTGGGATGTTTTCCTTAAACACGTCTTTTAGCTTGCCATAGGCTGCCCATCCTAAAGCTATTCTTCTAGATAATTCGCATGTTTGGTTGTCTCTACTTATTTGTATTTCGTGGCCCAGATATATGTATTTGTCAACCGTTTCAATATGCCAGTTTTCTAGTTTCAATGGTCCACTAGGTACTAAGTTGGTCATCATTTTAGTTTTCGCGAGTTTATTTCCAGCCCTACTTTTTGGGAGACTCTTTGTAAATCTTGTAGCATTTCGTTGGCCTCCTCTAAGTCGTCGGTTATTAGAACTATGTCATCTGCAAATCGTAGGTGGTTCAGCCTTTCGCCATCGACACTCAAACCTCTGTTTTCCCATTCTAACATCTGGAATGCATGCTGCATTACGGCATTGAATAGTTTTGGTGACATGTTGTCTCCTTGTCTAACTCCCCTTTTTAGATTTATTTTTTGAGTAGGGGTGTGAAGGTTTATTGCTGTTGTGGCATTTGCATATATGTATTGAATAATGCTGGTATATCGGTAGTCGATTCTACAATCTCTCAAAGCTCTTAAGATAGCTACCATCTCGATAGTGTCAAAGGCTTTTTTATAGTCAACAAATACTAGAACTAGTGGCCGGTTGTACTCTATAGTTTTTTTCAATTAGGGCCTTTAGACAAGTTAGATGGTCATTTGTACCATACCCAGGGCGGAAGCCTGCCTGTTCTCTTGGTTGGCATGTTTCTAGTTTGTTCTCAATTCTGGCAGTGATAATTCGAGCAAATAATTTATACAGGTGACTTAGAAGACTGATTGGCCTATAGTTTTCGAGGTCTGTTTGATCTCCTTTCTTATGCATGAGGAGAGTTATAGAATTATTCCATTCAGCTGGTATTGCTTGGTTTTCTAAGCATATATTGAAGAGCTGCTTGATTGTCCTGATGAGAGCAGAGCCTCCGATTTTTAGCGCATCCGCCACTACTCCATCTTCTCCTGGTGCTTTGTTTTTTTCATTTTCATTTTCTTTAGAGCATGGTAAATTTCAGCCGTTGATATGTCGGGAATATCTTCTGAACCTTGATTCATAATTTTTTGTTCTGTATGTTCTGTCGGGTTTAAGTCCAATTTATTTGTGTACAGTGTTTTATAGAAGTCTTCTACTATCTCTAGCATTTCGTCTCTGTTGGACTTTAGTTTAGCATTCTTTCCCTTAAGTCTGATGATTTCTTTCTGCTGTTCGTCAATTTCCTTCTTAATATCTTCATGCTCTTGTTGTGCTCGGTTGTCTACGAGATTTTCTCATTTTTATATGCCCTTATGTCCTTTCTAATTGCTTTTGAGACCTCTTTGTTGATTTTATTAATGCTTTGTTGTTCTATACTCTTATCTTTTAGTATTTCTCTTCTTTCTTCCATTTTAAGTTTGGTGTTAGCAGTGATTCTCTCCTCTCTCTTGTTACCTGTACAACATCTTCTTTGAGCTTCTGCTATGGTATTAGTAATTACTTTATTTAGCTGATTTATATCATTTGTGGGGGGCCTGTTTTGTAGACGTACCGCTGTTTGATCTGCAAACTCTGTTTCATTTTTTGGTTGTGACCATGCTTTCAATTTTTTCTTTCTTATTAGTTTATTTCTCTCTTTATCGATGTTAATTTCTATTCTAGCGCGAACCATTCTGTGATCACTTCCTGTTGTGAAGCTGTTGAGTACAGTGACATCTTTAACTATAAATTTTTTATCTGTTATTATATAGTCAATTTCATTTTGCGTTCTCCCGTCCGGGCTTCTCCATGTCCACCTTCTATGTTGTTTTTTGTAAACGAAGCTATTCATTTGATATAATTTGTTCTGAAGGAGATAGTTTAATAAAGTTTGTCCGCGTTCATTTCTTCCATCGCTGCCGAAGTTTCCAAGTACAAATTCTGATGGATCGGATTTTATGCCAATTTTTGCGTTCATATCACCACATATGATTGTAAAATCGGTGTGATTTTCTTTCAGTGCTTGAGTTATTTCGTCATAGAAAATGTCTATTTCCTCTTCGCTATGGTCTGTGGTTGGCGCATAAGTCTGTATTATTTTGATGTTATATCTGTCGTTCAACTTTAGAATGACGTATATTACTCTCGTGGATATACCATGTATTAAATGGATTCTACTGTACAGCTGTTTATTTATGAGGAAACCTACACCTCCCACTGATTTGTTCTCTTCGCCGAAGTGGTAGAATATATGGCCAGATTTTAATGTCTGTAGGTGTTCGTCATGTTTTCTTACCTCGCAGAGCCCAATTACGTCCCAGCTGATCTTTTCCATCTCCAGCTCCATTTCAGTGATCTTGGCTTCTGACAGTACTACTAATTTCAATAATATTTTTATCATACTCTTTTAGATTTATTAACTTTTCACCCAATTTCATTGGATGTAATCTCCCAATATTTAATTCTAAATGTTCAACAAAAACATGTAACGGTCCCAAATCGTTAGGTTTAAATCTATTTGTTAATTGATATAATAAACGTTGTTTATCATAATACGAGTTTTTGTCGGATTCCAAGTTTTTGTCGAGTGTATCTGTACTAGATAATTCATTTAATTGATTATTATTTTTATTGTTTATACATGAACTCATATCAATATCTTCAGGTACAATGATATCCTCAACAAGAACGTTAACTCGACTATCTTTATTAAATTTACCATTCGGCGGCCCCTTGCCGGTGGTGGATGAGTTGTTTTCCCCGGACATTGGTCCGGGGCAGAAATATTCAAAAAATCAAAATTTACTTACAGTAGTTTTCCTTATAAACACAAACTTAATATACTTATAACTAATAATGTGAACCAAATAACCTACAAACACCGATGTCACTTTGTATAGCGTATGATAAACGACTTTTTGGAACAGTTACTTTTGCAATAAAAATAACAAAAATACTAAAACCCTTTTTTATGGGGTATTAAAATCTGACCGCGGGAGCTAACTAGTACACACCCATAGTAGAAGCACCTTTTTTTAATCTAGACAATTTAAATTTAACTTTAATAAAAAAATAAAACAGAATATTAGAAATATATGGGTTTTCGGCCTCCACAGCAACATAATATAACAGATCTCCTTAATAAATAATCGTGAACAATGATAAGCTTTTGTCACTTGATGAAAGTGCTAATAGACTCACTTGATGAAAGAATACCAACAATTACTTTTGCAATAAAAATAACAAAAATACTAAAATATACTCTAGTTTTAAGATTAAATATAGGCGAGGTGTATTAGTCACAGCAGCTGTTTTAATAAGATCTAAAATATCTAAGATACGATTTTCATTTTGTAGAATTTACTGTTTCTTTATTGTTCAATAAAACCTATTCGACTGTAAATATCGCACTTCAAGTCATACTAGCCGCAAAGCCATTGTCATCAGTTATAGTGTCCGCGTTCTCCATTAACTCCATGCCCACTCCTTTTCCTTTTTTGTATTTTATATCCCAAATGTTGCTCTATACAATTTAAAGTGACCCTTTCGCTAAATTTATTTGCAACAAATGAGATTAATTACTCTTTAGTGGCTATCGGCCGCAATTCCGTTCTTTTTCGAGTTCACTGCGTTATTTTCGTGGGAGGTTATATTGATTTATAAATAAAATGAGTGTTTTTCTAAATTTTACATTTTTATTTACTGATACTTTTTTAATGTAATCACTGTCTGGGAAACTAGCCATGCTATTATGGAAAACGGAGTCAAAACCCCCTAATTCCTTCATACTCCA